AACCCTCAGACTCTACACCTTAGATCTCCCAACATCTTCTCCAAATAGGGTGTCTATTCTTGGTGCCCCCAAACCAAAGGTTTTGGCCACTTCGCAGGGGCCGCAAAGCTGGTGCGCTTCGCCCGCGTCCCTTCCGTCCATCGCCGGGCGCTCACACGAGACATCCTCACCTTGGAGCGTGTGACCGGGCACAGGGTACGGAGGTATGGTACCCTCAATGAGGTAGGCGTTGCTCGTTTTCCAGGGTGGCTTTGGCAGTGAAAAGGTAAAGAGTTTCATCGGTTTTGTGGTGTGGGTATAGTGAGCCGCAAGGACGGCATGCCTGACCTGTTTTGGTACCACTGTTTTTTTCATCTGCGTGTGCCAGGGACTTCCTGCGCTCATTGAGTGTACCAATTTCCAAGGTTTTAAAGTCTCTTTATCGAGGTCTCTGCCCACATGTGGGCAAAATCGAGGTCTCAGTTCCACTCATGACTCGAATATCACAGGGCGAGAGCGCTGACAGAAAAACCGGTGTCCACTTCACCAGAAACATGATTGTCCTGCACATCGGCTGTCAGACACTCTCCTTCAAATCAACTATTGAATTGAATATATATATATAGACACATATATGCACATAATACCACGACCTTCCAAGCGGTGTCGATAAGTAGCTTCTTAGAGGTTAGGGGTGTCCCAAAAGCCGCCTGTTGGAAGGTCCTGGCAGGTATCTCAAGCAGAAGCAAGGTCGCAAAGCCAATCACAAAATCCATGGTTGCATGTGTTTCTTGGTTCGAACCCCAGATCCCCCGTTGAATTGGTATGCTCCGAGTCGATCTGCTGTGCCATGCCCGCGCCACTTTGGAAGAGGCGTTCGAGCTCACGGAGGAACGTCCAGAAGCTCCGTGGCTGAAAAATTACATTGAGAAAAAAACGGCCGGATATACCATGATACACCCACCCACAGAAGGAGCGGCTTCATCCCCCCATTTTTGCAGGCAGCGTCGGTCAGGTGAAAGGCAAGCGAAGGTTCCTCATGTTCAAAGGAAACCCGAACCAGTTCCTCCACTGGTCAGAGGAAAGCTCCAACCGAACGCTCCGAAAAGAGCAACCAACAGAGCTTGTGTCCTATACCGTACCATTCATGGAAGGATCTCTTCAGCATCCTTTCGGGCGTCCTGACCGTCCTGACCGTCCGGTCGCCAGTCGCAGGGTTCCGGCGTGTTTCACGCGCGACGGAGTGCGTTTCACGTGCAGTGCCCTCAGGTGGTTTAGACCATCCGCCTGTGAGGGCGGAGGGGGCACGATGAGGTGCGGCGGATGGGTTCAGAACCAGCGAATGCATGGGATATGGTGTCAAAAAGAGTGCTTTGAGGCGTTTGTCGGTGCTGTTATGGTGTTGTACTCGTTCAAGCTTGAATCATGCAAAGGCCAGCAAAAACCACCAGGCAGACTGGATTTCCACTCATTTTTCGTCCGAAACCGCTGAAAACCGCTGTCCTACTGCTACTCGCTTTCGCTTTCAGCGGTGATCCGCCACCGGGCTTCAGATCACCGGCAGCGCCGGTCCACCGTGGTCCGAGGTGTTGGTTTAAGGGGCGAAGTGCCATGGCCCAGCATGGTGTATATATAGACCCCCCAAGATAGAGTATAGAAACCTCAACCATCCCCACTGGACATGTCTTGGAAACCGTGCCATCTATTGAGCACTGGGGAGCACTGTCGAGCACTGTGCTGCCTTCCATCGGACCACGGGCACATCCTCTGCTCAAGTGCGGCAAAGAGCACGCGCGGCAAACCGCGCGTCCGGCGGTGCGAAGGGGGGCTGGCTTCGGTCGAAGAGAGGAAGGGACACGGAACGAGGGGAAGGGGCACGGATTGCGCGTGGGAATCCGGAACAGCAAGGATTGCCATCCTTTCCTCTTCGGCAAGGGCATTGGCCCTCCTGGAGAACAAAAAAGACTTGCAAAACCTCCTTCCAACCGGTCCCCCGACATTGTACCCTGCGTCCGCTGCGTCTCAGTGCCAATGCTAGCCTCGCTAGCTTCCTTTTTGGGAGATCTAGTCGAAACAGGGTCAGTTTGTCATTATTATTACCATCCTTGCTGTCACTATGTACTATTATCAATCATTGCTAGTGTGAACAATATCTACACCTTCCAAGAACACTGGCATGTCGCTGCCCAGTGTTGGGTCCGACCAACATCAACCTCCGCGGCTCGTCGTGCGCGCTCAGGTCGTGCGCCGGCATATGTACACATCTGCCTAAGGGGTCTTGAGCATGCTGGCACAGCGCAGCTGGCCGCGCCAGCCGCTGGTGCCTAGAGCCAGGTAGTTTTTATATGCTTGAGAATGCTTTGCGGAAGCTGTTTCACAAAGGGCTCAGAACCAAATGCGTTGATCTTGGAGGGGTGGTCGGCGGGCACGTGTCGTGCGTTCCGTGCTCCAAGCGGTGTGGGTTCGGTGCACCCATGTCCGACAGTCTGGTCGACACTCCTTGGAATCAGTGACCTCCCAGAGGTTGAAGGACCCGAACGTTCGACTATACCGAACTAGGTACCGCTCTTAATGGGGTTCTAGTTCAGGTCACTGTCCACTTTTTTGGGGGGAGGTTACATTTAAAAAGAATCTTTGTATTGTAAATGGCCATCCAAGGGGCCATTCCACTTCCATGATGAAATCCACAAAAAGCGTAGAAGAAATCCTCCGAGACTCCGGAATGTCCGGGTCTCACTTTTGGCTGCCTTTCACAAGCGTGAAAGCTGGACCTCTATAGAGCATCGGTTTTGCCCACCTGACACTTTCCACCGTTCCGCTACGCGGGATCAGACGCCTTCCCCTGGCTCGAGAGCACCAGGCTCACTGGGCTGAAAGAGACGCATTCAAGGCAGGCAGCTCGAGTCAGGCTCTTCCAATGGGCACTGGCGCTCTTGGCGTAAGAGCCGACCACCACTGGCTGTTTGAAACGGCCGATCGAGGAGCGACGAAACAAAGTCCACCAAAACCTGGACAGGGCTAGTAATGGCATTGGAGATGTTGAAGGTCTCTCCTAAGCCTTCATTGCATTCTGCCAAACATTTTAAGATATCGACATACGATCCACTCGGATGGCTGGTCCATACTCCCTGGAAGAAGTCATAGTTCAGAATCCATGGGAATTTGAAGGAAAACCACCACCATCTCTGAAGCTCTCTCGGATTTCAAGGTCCCTCTCGGGGGCGGCAGCGCTTCAAACACATTGAGATACAAGCGCAAACGCCCTGCTCTCGTTTTGGAACCTTCGCTAGGCCTGCCTTGGCTACCTTGCCTCTGCTTGCGAGCCTTGGCCGCTCATGTGTTTTTGCCCAATGCCCTTGTCTCGTGCCCTTACGCATGTCAGACACAAACCGATCACTTTGAATCACTGCGCTGCCACACGGTCACAACTCTAGTTTTGGTTTTGGACATGTACTAGCGACACTTTTGTACAAGCCCAAGGACACAACACCCAAAGAAAGAGACACCAAACACCCAGGTTTCACCCCGTTTGGGGGTGTTTGGACCCTGCTTGGGGTGGTTGGACCCTAGACACCCCGGTAGCGCACCCCACACCTTGGGCACTTGGGTGTTGGAGGATAAGGATAAGCCTCGTTAGGCTGTGGAAACTCCTTCAGCTGACAGGGTTCCCATGGCTTCCCTGTTCCACCTTGCACGGTGCGATTTCATGCGGGTTGGGCGACATGTGCCTTTCTCCTCCCGCGTAGGCGTCGTTCGTTTACACTGGGCACTGAAGCACCATCTGTTCAACACATCCCTGCTGATTGTAGCGTAGCAGCGAAGCCCCATTGCAAGAGCCGCTTCCCGAGAGATATAAAGCCTCGACGTCAGGATTTCAGGTGGGGGAACTCTTTTGGACTTCCCAACTGCGAATTCGCAACAAGTCCTCAGCGGGTGCCGTAAGCTATGGGGGAGCAAAATGGCCTCCCAGATCTGGCAGCGGAGTTGCTTTGATATCATCGAGCTTGCAGGGGATGCCAAAAAATGCAGGAGAAGTGCCAGAGTGCCAAGTGAGTCACCTAAGCCTGCAATCGTTTCTACTTCTCTACAACATTCTACCCCTACGCGCTTAACACGTCCATTGCCAACTTCTAGGCTAACTTAGGGATGTCAGAGCCACATAGAGAGATCCACTCAAATATAAAAGTGCCCAAACAATTGCATGCCGGCATACAGAAATGGGTTTGAGGACAAGCCTCCAATCCAGGTGAATGACTTTGGCGTCCGTCTCCGCACATCCCGATCTTCCCCGTCGGACGCACGTCACGTTGCACGTGACAGGGCGCCACCTCCCCAGTTGCAGCTGACGACTCGTCGCCTTCAGAACACATAATACAAGAGACGGTGCGTTCCGTCGGTTCCGCGGTGCTGTTCCACCCCAACCGGGTCATGCAGGACAAGAGACACTGGGTGTGAGTGTCTGGAAGTGAAGGTCCGGCTGGGACAGAAACACTGGGTGAGAGTTACGAAGGATGGCCCAAACAGGCACATAGTGACCAGTAGTTCCATGCGGGTGCCGAAGTTGGAGTGTCACATCCACTCACTTGGGGACTAAAATCCACCCCTTTGAACAAAAAGGTCCTGATGTAGAGTGTTTCATGAGTTTTCATCCACCACACCAGACTGGATGGCCACTCCACCAACCCAGCAACCTCGCGCGGCTGGCTGGACTTCCGCGGGGGGGCTGCATGGTCTACCTGACTTGGGTCACAGACAGATCCTTTGGGTGGGCACAGACCTGTCCATTGACCAACCACCCAACCAGTGACCGAACGGACCTTCCCAGTGACCGACTTTGCGGTCACTGAGTGACCAACCTCTACAGACCTCTTGGTCACCCCGGACCTCGAGGTCCGGGGTAGCGGGAAGGCCTTCAAAGGGCCAACACTTGCAGGTGGACTTGCTGTTTTGGGGGCGAACGGTTGCGACGGGACACACCGCGACTCACGTCGTCCGCGGCCAGCGCTGTTGCTGGATGTGGCTCACTGGGCTTCGGCTGTGGAAGCTCCTGGCTCCGGAGCGAAGAAAGCCGCTGTGGAGAGGAAGGGAAGTGATGGTCACCAGACCCCTCCGGGGGTGGAGGGTGGACCCCCAACGATCTCATTCCAACAAACCCCCGGAAAAGGCAAGCACCCGAAACTGTGAGAATCTCCGGGGTGGACCACCCGGCTTCGCTCAATGAAGGGAGCGTTGCGGTTTCGAAACCATCAAACCCCAAACCCCCCGTCCCAAGCTGGCTCCCTGCTGGGTTGGCCAAGGATTTTTGATGTGCACCTCTGCTGTAACGCTGTTTACTGGGAACGGGCGGAAAAGTCTGACGCAGCACTTTCGGGGGAACTTTCGAAGGCCTGGACGCCAGGATGTGCGATTTGGACGCCGTGGTTTTCCTCTCACTCTGTTGTCACCTGCCCTGACCACTCCACCTGCTCTGACCACACCACTCCACTCCTGCCAGCTGTGCCACCAAGATGGCCAAGCTCTGACCCAAGACCTCTCCGCGGCGCGGCGCGGCTTGGCCCAGTACTGTGCGGGTCTTCGGATGAGATCAGTAGATGTCAGTGCTCAGGTAAGCTCTTGACACCGTGCCTTCCGTTCTTCAGAGTTATTCTTGCAATGACGGGAAGAAAGGGCCTTGGGGGTCCAAATCCAGCCCACCAAAGGAAAACGCTCCATTCTGAGGCCACACATATAAGCCGTTTAGAACGGAGAGAACGACACGGCACCGAACCAGGCAGGTCCAGGCTGTATTGGAACCTGGTCACTCGATCTACTTCGTTCCGGTCCGCCCGCAGGCCCGAAGCTGCACGCATGAACAACAAAGGACCGCGGTCGGGGCCGGGCCAGGTGTTCACACTTGGGGCCAACGACGAAGACTCTTGTGCATCTACCTGGACCTTCCAGCTCTTTGTTGTGCATCTCACCACACCCGGTGCCCATCGCTTCACCTGTGACCGGGCTCCGGACCGGGACGCCGCCCATTCCGCCGATTGGTCCGCCCGGACCATCTGCGCCTGGGAGCCCCGAGGCGCGAAGTGCAGGCCATCCATCTCCCAGAGCGAAGCATCGGCCTCAGCGCGGCTTGGAGCGGAACGAACGAACGAACGGCTCGGAGCGGATGGATGAGAAGCTTGAGACCAAGCCATTCTGTTTGTGCTGTCTACCTCTTCTGATTGTTTAATTCAGATTAGTTGCTATAGCTTCTGAATGTCTAATTCTATTGGCATTTTTTGTGCAGTGAATCCTTTTCTAATTGTAAGACCCAGAATCACCCAAGACGCGTGTGTGCATGTGGTATCATCTTCCAAGCACATCCAACCGAATGGAATCACCCCACCACCCAGCCCCACCCCCCGTCAGACATTGAAAAGTCCATAACTACGAGCGCAGTTGTCAACCTGCTAGCTTGCCGATCATTTCCCCCGAGTGCCCTGGGGGAATGAGAAGACTACTACCACAACTACTACCACACGGAAATTGCCAGCAAGACTTGCTCGAAAACGACCCAAAACGACCCAAACGCGTACGGCGGCCAACGAACGTGGGCGGTCGTTCGCCCCCCAATACCCACCCGGCGAACGGCGAACGCCGCGATGACTCGGGACATTCGACCCGACCCTTGAGGAATTGGTCGCGGTACGTACGATCTGGGACCCCTTCAATGGGCAATGGAACGACCAAGAGAGGTGGACCGTGACCGTCTATTTACGGTCCTAGGACAGGGGTACCGGTTCCTGGGAGAGTCGAACGTTCGGGTTCTTCAAACCTCTGTTGGTGTAGTTGGGCGGACTTCAAACGGAGGCCCCCCATGGGGAACGATCGCTGTCCGAGGCCCACCGGTGGCGCACCGAACCAGGGGACCCAGTCTGAAGCCCCACCAAGGGGTGTCTACAGTATATATTCTAGCTCGGTCTGCGGTGAGGAACGGGGTGTCCAAAAAGACATCCCGTTCCTTGGTTGTTGGAACAAACATGACAGGTGGAAGCCCTAGAGGGCCTGGAGGCTCAAAACCTCCTGACTTCCGTGGCTTCCCCCATGAAAAGCACTCAAGAAGCCTCCCCACCCGCTGGAAATCGATCGAACAAGGCACTGGAGATAGGAAGTCCTAGCAGGCCGGCTATCCGGGTTAGGTGTTCAGTCAACCGGGTTGGCTGTCCGAGACTCATGTTGGGTCTGTCCATGTCATCCACCCAGTGGATGATGATGGTTAGGTGGCAGGCCGACAGCTCGAAAATAGTGATTTGCTGGCTTACTGACTGTTACAGGTAATAGGACAGACCCAAGACTAAGAGATGTGTTCTTTTTGGGCTTCGTTCAAGGGGAACCGTGCGGCATGGTGATCAGGAGGTGATCATTGGCTGGATGGAGCCAAAGCTCATGACGGAAGACGTGTGCAATTTGTTTCTAAGACACCTTCCATCCTGCAAGAGAGCTCTTCAATCCGTGTGTTGGTCAGTGTCGCAGCTTCACCTCGTTGACATGTTCCATTTCACATCAACCTCACTCACGACGTGGGATGGTTATTGTGGCTCGGAGCGGCATCTCCATTCACCCAAACCACCCAACTCCTGGTAGCCGCCAAAGCTCGACCCAGCGAGCCGCCCTGCCCCGACCCTCGCCCGCCTGTGGATCGATGCTGGCGACCACGCGCGGCTCGGCGCCCAAGCGGGCGCTCAGCCTCGGAGCGTCGCCCCAGCCGAGGCGACCAGGGAGGCGGGGACGAAGGCGGTGGACCAAAACCGCTGCCTTCGTAGGTGGTGAAAACGGAACGTGGCCTTCTCGTGGACCTGCCATGACCTGCCCCGGTTTTCAGGACATGACCCGTGAGCTGCCCGAAACACGACTGGTCAAATTTGTCTGGGAAGTCCAGTGGGTCAATCTCAAGAGGCCCCAGATCTTGGATCAGGGCTTGATCGGTCTCTTCTCCGCGGCCAGGTCAGTGAGGGTGCTCACTAAGTCACTATTACGTCTTATTGAAAGACCGATTCATTGGGCTTTGTTGTGGTCTTAAGGGGTGCTCCAGATACACACTTTCATTTAGCCCTTCAATACCCGAGGCACCGGTGTTCTCATCGATAAGTTCTGCACACCGTGAGAGACCTCTCTAGGGAGCTCTATGCCAAGAAGCCGAGTTGAGATGTATTGCCTCTGCATCTCCTGCAGGTCGAGCGGAGATATAAAAAAAAAATCTCAGCACAACAATCCACTCGAGAAGCTTGCCTCACTCAACCAAGAGAAAGGAAACCCTCTCCACCCCAATGAAGTTAGACTTGGTGGAATAATCATGGAAGTGGGCATGGCCCCTTGGATGCCACTTCCATGACTATGTCCAGAGAGTTTAGAGCCCCCTTTCTGCGTTGAAGCACTGCACCAGATGCTCTTGCTGCTCCCAGCCCAGGCAGCTTCGACCCAAGAAGCCCAAGCAGCACGTCTCGCGTCACGAGACGTTGACCCCCACGACCCCGAAAAGAGACGTTGACCCCGACGTTCACTCCCCCACCTGTGCCAGGCAATACCCAGGAGCAGGTGCAGGTGCCAAAGCCATGGTGCAAACTCCTGCGGCCACAGCCCAAACGCGAGGAACGAGAGTCACGGCTTGCGTTGCGGGGAGTCCAAAAGCTGTCTGATGAAAAAGAAGAACTCTTTGGGAGATGTGGGAGTGCAGCTATGGCTATAGGTGGAAAGTGCTTGATCTGCATTCTATGGCAGCCTTTTGGGTTCCATGCTGCAGCTCCTCTTCAACAAGCCTCTTGGTTTCCAGCCCCAAGTGGTGCTGCAAAGGGGCTACCAGGTACTCCTTTCTGGAAGGCCCTGCTACACCTGTGCACCGAACCAGCGCAGCCCGGCCGCGTTCCCGCCTTGACGATGGCAGAGGGCGTGCAGTTCCACGAGGTCCTGGCGACGTGGTCCGTGGTCCGCGGTCCGCCGTGGTTCGGGTCTGGGGAGCCTTCAGGTCTGTAAGAAGAGTACAGACGGGGTTAGCAGGACCTTCCAAGAGGCTGTTTGGAGACCCTAACAGGTGGTGAACCTGGGCACCGGACTTGTCATCCAGTTTGACTCTATTTGACACCGAAGTGTTCAAGGAAGCTTTTTCTAACGCGGTCATCCCTTTTTTTCAAGACAGGATGGAGCTGCCCACCGACCAAACCAAAGCACCGCAATTGCACTGGAGCACGTGACACCAACAGTATAATTCAGAACTGTCTTTCCACTACCTACACTAACTATTGTTCATACTTACTGTATGTTCATCTCCTTCATCTCCTGTTGCATATGTTCTTAGACCGAGCTTGGGTGGACCGAGTATGTGGGTATCACCTTCCTCTGAACGTCACCCAAATGCCCTGGACTTGGATGTCCGTGACAGCCCTGGGAACTCAGCAGGACTAGCACGCCGGCTGGGTCTTAAGAGTCCTCTGAAGGACACCCCAAGCACTCAAAACTCCGGGCTTGGTTTACTCTCCCTGGAACTAACATGGAAGTGGATGGCACCACCTGTTTGTAGTGGAAAATGGTCTTCCAAGGGGCCATTCTCCACTTCCATGTTAGTTCCGCTGGAAATCCCTGAAGTTTGGGTTGGCGTGTAAGATGGCCTCAGCACCTCCCTCTCAGCCGCCCTGTAGACCGTAGATCGCTCCTCAACGATGACATCCAAAGGTGTCCCGCGACCAAGGTCGTTGGTGCCGGACATGATGATCACCAGGTCCTGAAATCGCAGATGCACCGCTCTTGCGCAACTTTCAGACCGTGACCCGAAGAGCACCAGACCCGGAGCACCACCCAAGCACGACCTTTTCTGTCACCAGGTTTGCACCTGGAAATGCCGATCTTGGAATCCAGGGTGTTGAATCTTGAGATTCAACACCCAAGGTGATATCACCTCTTGTGTCGAAAGCTGGATGCTTGTTGGAAGACCTCCTGGGACGCTGGAAGGGCGTTTCACCACCAGTCCAGCTGGAACGAACATCGGACGGAACGGGTCGTCCAACCGGTTGGACTCCTCAAAACAACTGGGATTCGGACTCCCAGGTGGGGTCCATAACTCCGAACTCCGACTGGGTCGCTGATCAACTGGCCGAGGTGAGGTAGTGGTTTACTGGTCAGAAACCAGCTTCCAAAGTGCTGGTAAGTGTATGTCCTGCAAGTGTATGGTCCTGAAAACCGATTCAAAACCGCTGTCGGCACAGGGTCCCGCTCTACTGTGAAAATCTGTGAAAATCGAGGAAGCACCCACCAGATTAATTAAGGTCCACAACGGTTCCTGCCCGCCAGGCTGGGGACCTGCAGGCTGAAAAACCAGAGAATCCAAGGCACGTAGTTCTGGTCCTCTAAGATCTTGCTGAGACCAACGCCTGACAGTCCAGTGCCGTTCGAAGACCTACACCGACCTCGCGTGTGTCGGCCCTCGTCCCACCGGTCGGGCCCATAGGTTTGGACCGACTTTACGTAGCTCTGAAAGGTGCCGTGAACCGTGTGCCACCAGATCATCAGGTTCAGATCATCCGGAGCGTCAGGGCCCAGGCCCAGCCCGAGCGTCCTGCCCGGACTCCGCCGTCGATCTGTCACAGCCCCTCCGGTCGATCTGGGTCTCCGGGAGGTCCGGGGCGTGGTGAAGGTCGACCGTTTGGGGACCGTTCGCGTTCGGGCTGGCGGCTCTTGGAATCCACCCAGCACCACGGGCGGTTGATAGACCCCCGAGAAACATGCCAATGTAGATCCCATTTGGATGCACTCACTTGCGGGCGGTTCACGTCCACACAACCCCTTGTCATATTGATCATATTGTATGACGGGCATTGGTGGATGTAGTCAGTGAGAAATGGGATTCAAGCACCTCTTCAGGTGGGGCATTTTTCATCAAGAGTCTTCGTCAATGTTCATCCAAGCAGCACACCAACTGGCCCTGGCCCTCTCGGTGCTACCAACTCTTCCCGGCTTACTCATGACACACCCTACTTACACCCCATACCAGGACCTTCCAAAAGGCGTCTTTAATATAGCCTCGGTCTGATTTGACTCGGGGTGTCCCAAAACCACCGAAAGAGCTGGTTCCGGTCTCGACTCCACGGCCCGCCTCGGCAGCGCGCCACGTCCACCAGCTCGCTCTCCGCGCTGCGGAGCATCTCGGCCGTGGTGCAGCCACTGTGCCCGCAGACCGAGACCTTCGCGGCGGCCGCACGCCGAGGTCCCGAGACCCAAAACGCCTGGCACTGGACACAGACAACAGGTGGAGCCAACCAAGGTCCCTCATACCCGCTAGGGAAAGCGCCTGATCCTGCTGTGTTCCAAGCCACGGGGCCCAACCGTTCGACCCGACCGCCGCCGTGCCATGACGGCTCGGCGCCTGTGCTTCGATGCCACCGTTCGCCAAGACCTGGCCACGGGCCCACGGCGGACATGGGGGGTGGGACCCCCATGGGTCGTTGCCTGGCCCGTGCAGGTGTTTGCCAACGTTTTGCAGACTTGTCCAGTAAGTGGGCTTGGATGGTGCCTTGCTGGGTTTTTTGGTGACCTTGCCCGAGTTCACCAGTCAAGTGCCCGTGGCTCAGAAGCACCAGGGTCAACGAAACCTATCACCTGCACACTCACAGACTCCAAGGACTCCAAGTCCAAGCTGACTCAAGCACCACTACCAATCTCTCCCTCACCATCCGAAACCTGTTCTTGCTGTTCTGCCCAGGCCAAGGAGTGGATGGTCTTCAGAACCAAAATCCATCCCCAAAACCACAGCGCCCTTCCCCGGCCACCGTTGGATCCCCAACAAATCGCCGAACCCCCAAAGGCCCCAAAGCCTTGCAGTGCCTGACCGACCAGGCCCACCGACCAGGCCGGCCTCGGCCATGCTGCGGCCATACGGGTCGAACTTCGCGCCACCGGCGAAGAAGCCGGCGGTGAGGCTGTCCTTGTTCGACTCCGGTGCGGTCAGCGGTTCGGCCGCGGTGCGGGGCGGGTTGGGCGCGGTGGTCTTGAGGAAGGCGACCGTCTCAGCCATGGGTGCCCTGGAAGTCGAACGGACCATTGATTCAATAGCCTTTAGCCACGCAACCAAGTTGTTGTACTAGCAATTGTCGATAACCAGATCAACCATTTTACAAATGGTCGAACGGACTTCCAGCGGGGTGGAGAGAGGAAGCTGCGACTGAAGACAGCTGAAGGGCCTGAAGGGAGTGGAGAGTAGAGAGATGTTTTCCAGTTGTCCTCACCAAGACCGGGTAAAGGGTCTGGTGATAGGCCAAAGCAGGCAATAGAAACCTGGTGTGGGGTGGGTGAAAGCTAACGTAGGTCTTTGTCAGTTGGCCCCTGATTATATATCTACCTTGAGTCTCCAATGACCCTTTTAAATTTGCCTTTCCAAGAAAAAGAGGTTTTTGAAAGAAAGCACTCTTTTTTGCATATGTCACGAAATGTTCCTTTTTTGTTTGTGCCCTGTCAGATCCTCCTTAGACAGTGTCCTGAGACCTTTTTTCGGCGTCCAAAAGGCGTCGTTAAGCGTCCGTGCCGGACGCGTCCGGATGAAGATTCACTCTGCACCTTTTTTTGAGTCCTCATCTCTAAAAACGCGTTTTTCGAGCAAAAACGCAAAAACGCAAAGTCTCCAAAAACAAAAACGCAGAAAAAAAAGGTCTTTGGAGACTCAAGGTATATAAATAAATCTATATTGCATGCCTAAGCCCAATGGGTGGACCGTTTTGAAGTACAGCGACTTTGGAGGTAGCAACACCAATCCTCGGTCTGCCAGTCGGTGCCAAATATGTGGTTCACCCTCTCTGGTCCCAAGTGGGGCCTCACGGGCCCGAAAACAGCTATAGGCGAGGCATCCACTCTGCAGCGCTGAGAGCGCTTCGGCCTCCAACCATCCAAAAGCCGTTCCCAGACCGCTAGGGCGCCCCATGGCCTTCGTTGCTCCGGACCGACGCCTCCTACCCGGGGCCGAGGCGTCGCGAGCCGAACGCTGCGACCCAAGGGACGCCATAGCAGAGGATCTTCCAGCGAGGCTTCTCACCTCGGGACGAGAACACGTGGCTGAGGCCGAAGGAAACCCGTCCGCGTCGATTGAGGGTGCGGTGGGGACCATGGTGAAACCCGTGGGTGGCTTTTGGAACTCATCCTGTGTGTGTGCGTGTGTGTTTGTGTGCCTATGCACATGTACCTAGGCCCCCAACAACCATGATTTTGATGACCTTTACTAAACAGCCATTGTTTTACTATAGAGGATTTACACGACAACACCAGGTCAACCATTATTGACATGGTCGTGGAAGCCTAGGGTGTATATGTGCAATCATGTGTTCTATGACCACCTGGGCGTGTGGGCGGCATTCACGGCGGTGAAAACCACGGAGAGTCGGGTAGAGCTTCGAGTCGTCTCCACCCATCTCCCCAGCACATCTCCCATGTCTCATGTGCTGAGTGGATGTAGGTTGGGAGCTCTTGCTTTTGGTGTGTCCAGGCTTTGGGTGATGAAGCAGTAGTCGGACAAATGTCGCGGTGCATGGAAAACCGATCGACCCCCTCGCGGTGCTCGTCGCTGCAACCGGTAGGGCCCACACAGAAGGAGAAGTGGACGGGCATTTCACCCATCGCCTCTCCTTGGGGCACAGGCAGGCGTTAACAGCGAACACGTGGATCGGCAAGCAGAGTCATGCCCTTGTGGCAGTGCACTTGAATGATAGGGAGACCCCGCAGCCAATGGGTGGCTTGATCTATTTAAGTCTATTTCCCTTCATCCAGCGGGTCGGTGCCTGGGAGTTTTGCCTCTTGGAGCTACACACCCATGTGGTGCGGGACGAAACCTTCCTATCTTCAGAGTGAACTTCCGTTGGGCCTCCTGGAGGAGGTCGAACGGAAGAAGCGCCACGAGGTCGACGGGAAAATCCGCCAATGACGAACATCGGCAAATCCCATCCCAGACGGACATCCTCTAAGACGGACATCCGGCGTGGATTGAGGTACAACTTGGAGATGTCCAGGTACTGTAGCAACCATCTCACTTTGGAGATGACCCAAATGATTCCAACTCCGGAAACATGTTGACCGACATACAAGAGTTTCAACGAGAGTCGACTGCCTCTCAGCTCCGACCATTCCAACTAAAAAAGAAACGAAAAATTACAAAAAATGAGCTTCTTGAGAACTGACTTCTCCACCAGTTGCTTCTCTACCCAGGTCTACCGCCCCCACCCAGGTCTACCGCGTCCGCGTCCACCACTTGGCCTCACAAACTCAGACTCAGAACCCCTATCGGCCCGCCGAGCCGCTCATTCGTGATCCTTCATCCTCCCAGGACTGGAACGTTGCCACTATCCCCACCTGAAGCCGTTGCTCCCAGCTGAATACAGCGCACGGCGGACGGGTTTTCCGCGGAGGTGTGGTGGCTGGCGCTGGGCGGCGCTCAGCTCTGAGCAAGGTCAAAGATTTGAGTACCTGGACCTGGCCGCACCTGGCCCTTCCCCCACGCCATCTGGGAATTCACCCGACCTGGCTGCTTTTCCCTGTCCAAAACACCTCTCCTTGATCGTCCAGCACGATGGACTCCCGCGCCGGTGCTCCCTGGGAGCCTAGTCAGGTGATCCCAAAAAATAAAAGGAACTTGAAGACTTGGGCTGCCCAAAGATCGTCGAATTAGACTTCTAGGGTCCAGGGTGCTGTGTCGTTCGGGGAGGTCAACCAAATTTTCGAGCAATCCCATCAGTCCCAGAGTGGGTGGATTCCGCCATGTCCCCAGAGTGGTGCCCGAGAGTTCTCCAACCACCAGGCAGAATCCAAAAGATCCGTGTTGAAACAACCAGAACACTTGGGTTTCTGTTGGGTGTTCTTCAAGCACAACGGTGCTTGGCCGACTTCTTTGGCAACCCCTGGCGGTCCAGGCATCTGCATCCAGCCGGGTGACCAGGTTGATCGCCGGCACAGGCACCATGGGGTAGATGGCCTGGTGTTCCCATCGCTGTCCGTGATGGGGCAAAAAGTTGTTGCACACGTGTTCGACCGCTGAAATGGTAGGGTTCGTGCCACTGACTTTGGGCACCAAGTGGACGCCGCGGACGCCTGCTACCGTCGTGTCCAGCCATTTCACTGCTTTCTCAGCCTGTCTGTGCTTCAGAGTGGAGCTGCTGTTTTGTACATGTTGAATCCAGCAATCCAGAAATCCCTGTAACACCCAAATGCGCCCACTGGGCTCTCGGAATTCCAGTCAAGAAGATTAACACATGCCAAGAAAAGGTTTGCTGATCCGGTGGCAACGCATGGGACAAAGAAGCACACGGTCACGAACCGGGTTCATTTCCCTTGCTTAATCTTCGGATCCGAGACCCCGAATCGATGCACGCACCACTGGAAATCTAGAAGCTGGTGGAATCACCTGGAATCATGACCCCCTGCGGCTATCCAGTTCTGTTGGTGGCAGGGTCCTATAGTCGCATCGCTCGCCGGATCCCGCTTCGACTCCGGAGGGCCCTGGGGACGGCTCCGCAACGGCGCGAACCGCTTCAGGCGCGGCCCAAACGTAAAAAGGGCAATCGCCGCAAGAGCCAAACAACCATCAGTGTTTGACTCAGGGTTTTGCACTTAGGGTATAACTATAATATATATTACCAGCACCCTCCAACAGGTCACCCAGATCAACAACTTTCAAAATGCTCCTGGACTTCCAGATCTTCCAGCGCGCACCCCTTTCAGAACCCGCTCCCACTGATCCCCCGCCGAAACACCGGCAACTGACCGAGGAAACCGAGAGGCAAAGACCGGCACGTTCCAGCCCTGGTCGAACATCGGCACCTGACAGTCCGCGAGGCCCGTCCGCCAAGCAGTCTGCGAGGTCCGTTCACCCCGGAGAACCCGGGCCCATCTGGAAAGGGTGGTTTTCTTTCCGGCACGCTGCTGGGGGGAAGTCCGTGGGTGGGCTGCCCATGCCGGGCACAGATTGGAAGCAGTCGATTTCTCCATGAACGTGCAAAAGCCATTGAAGTCCCACCCTTGAAGTGCCCAATTCATTGGCCTCACAGTGGTGGTGAGGCCTCCAAAAAGCCTATAGAAACTCTACCGTGTTCGGAGGAACGATCTTCAGGAAATCCAGATCAAATGTGTACCGAAAAAATGATCCACCCAGCTCTGGTGGTCCTTGGTCCAGCTGCGTCCCTTTTAAGGAACCCTCTCCGGAGACCAAAGATCACCAAAGATCACCGTAAGCGGGGCCCCAGCTAGGCCACCTCCCTAACACATCTGCTCTTGTCCTCCTCTTGTCCTCCTCTTGGCCGCGCCCCTGAACTCTGTCGCTCTCCCTCTGCATCCTCAGCTTCCCGACGGCCGCCGTCATGGCCACAAAGGAACCGCCCCACGGTCGGGCGTCACCACGGCCGCTGTCGGCCCGAGCCCATGCTCGAAGCCACGCCCCCCCCCCCCGCTGGAGGCCGTAAATGTTTCGTGGAGGAACGGCGAGGCTGAGCGAAACGATCGAGCTAACGCAGCACCCCGCGGGGATGGAGAAGGAAAGAGATCTCAAAACCCTGCTGGCTTAACCTCTGGCGGTCTCTCTCCCAGGGTTCTTTCACCAACCCTGAGTTCGTGGTACTGACTGCCTGAGATCTCAAACAAAAATCCTTAAGTGGCCACATCTGGCCTGGTGTGGTCACCCTTTTCAAACCATGGACAGACCGGCCATCGGCCACAGCGTCCGTTGGTCCACCAACCTCCCCCCCAGGTTGGTCCACACGAGAGGGTCATGTTGACAACTCTGCCACTGAAATCCCCGAATCCGAAGTGTGGCCGGAAGTGTTCGATGAATCTCATGCTGTTTTGGAACGACCGACAACACACGCGGTCGCCCCATTCTAGAAGACCCAATCAGAATCGAATCGATGACTTCAGCCATGGTGGGGACCGCCATGGGGAACCCATGACCATCGATGTGTCGCCCATGACCGCCGTGGATGTGTCCACCCAAAGCCTTCTGCTCTGCTCCGTGCGTAGGCACGGCAGAATAAGAAGTGGACCCAACGGCCTGGGAGGAACGGAGCAGCCAGAGGTCGACAAATGACCTTCTGGGGGGGTCGCGGGGTGCAAGTGATGGAGAAAATCCTCGAAGCCAAAGAGCTCGGCGGTTGAAATGTTGAAAGATGTTGAAAGGATGCCCACAACGGCTGCCGCACCCGAGCCGCAAAGCGTCCCTTTTGGATCTTGCCAGCGGTCAATTTTGCCGCGTGAACACTGCACACCATGTTGGGCACACACCGTGGTGGCCCAGTGCTGCAGTCGAGCGAGGAAGACCTACGGACAAACCTGCACCAAGAGTCACAAAGGGGTGGTGATGTTTAGTCCCATCCAGTGAGTGGATGTTCTGGGCACCGCTAGCCTCCGGCACCCCTTTGGAACTGCTGGTAGCACAAAACGATTTCTGACACGCCATGGAAATGTCAACCGATTGGCTGATCCGACTTCCAGTGTCCGCGTGACTTCCGTGACGTCGCCCCGTGTCCTACATTCTGAGGCCGTAACAAAAAACCGTAACACCTGGTCACTACACAGGAACACCCGATAACACCCGTGCCAATCCTCTTCTTCATACCGGTTACCACCCATACTATCTACTCACTCAGTCCCTCCTCCCCCTAGTTCGTTCGCCGCTCAGTCCGGCCGTTACAGCCGCTCACCCGGCCGAGCCGTTGTGCAGCGCAAAGACCCGTGCGATCTCCTTCATGGGGACGCCCCCCGCCTTGGCGGCGTTCCGCGCAGCCTGGCACGGTCGGGTCGACGAGGGGCTGCGAGGAATTGCAGGTCGCGGGTGGCAGGGCTGGTGAGGGAGGAATTGGAGTTGGATTACGTCATTGGTAGTATATAGAGGATCTCATCCGCGCCATGCTTTGGAAGAAGCCATTGGTTTCTGGTGCTTTGGGGTCCAGGTGTGTTCTATAGACCCACCTGAGGTCAAGTTCGGTCAGGTCCCAGTTCAGGTCCCTCAACCCAGATCCATCCCAGTGCACCCGCCTTGATTTCAGCCACTTGCCCTCCGCGCGCCGCCACCGCCAGGGCCTCCAGCAGCTGCTCGTGTTCTCGCTCTGCCTCTTGCTTCGTCCTCAAGGCCGGTTGAGGCGATTCGAACACCGATTCGGCTCGAGTCCGGTTTAGGCTATCTAGGGACAGGGCGGCCCAGTAATAACCCATCGGTCTTCCAACCACAAATGTTCACCCATCAACTCCTACAACGCCAGAATCTCACGAAAACCACCCGTGACGGTCTAAGACTGCCCGAAAACCCGCCCGTTCTGCCGAAAGAACTTGGCCCATTTCATATATTTTGATTGTCACATGCATGGGTAGCCTATCACATTCTATTTCCGCTCATTGTATTCTATGAATTTGGATTTTTTCCTCGTGTTGCAAACTCAGGAGTGGGGCGTTGATTGGGTCAAGCAAAACCTGCAGCAATAACCGGTTCGACCCGAGACGATACGGACCAGGCTAAACCCAAGAAAGCTCGATTTGATGTGAGAAAGCCAGGATTCTGAGCAAGAATTGCATGTTTTGGAAAAGCCACTGGCATCTCCTCCCGCCACTCAATGCCGTGAAAAGAATGGTCCTCCGGAGTCATATTCTATAATGTCATGAATTCATGAGATAACCCAGTAGCCCGCAGAAATTTGCGAGCATGCATGTGGTCAACAGAAATCATGGAGCATGTAGCTGGCACACATGGTAGCATGTACACATGCGCAAGCGATGAAAGAAACCTAGCAGCCCCCCAAGTCGCCAGCAGTCGTTGCCGTCTGACATCCTACCTCCCTAGCAAAACCCATTTTCCATGCCCTGCCCACCCCACCCACTGCTCAAAAAGACGGAAAACGCCCATCACAATGGTGGAGAGATCCGAATCCTCCACCGGTGCGTCACCAAGGGGCGTCACCAAGCGGGAGAGCGCCTCGGACATGGCCTGTTGCTCCTGGGCGGAATGTCTGGGCGATCACGAACCCCTGCCACAACAAGGAACGGAGACCCCGCCGCAAACTAACATGGAACCTTAGAATTGACCCGTGGTTTCGACCATTTTCCTCTACAACCCGACGTGGTTTTCGGGGTCCATGTGGTCCTCTCGAGGGGAGTATCAGAAACTGGATTGGGCACAAAGTACTCTCCGAGGAAATTCATTCACATGGAAGTGGAGGTGCTGCACTCCACCTGTTTGGCCATCCGAAGAGGCCAGTTCTATTTAAGGAAAAAACATGTTCCAACATGGGATTCTTCAGCTACTGAACGCAGGTCGCCAGCCTTGCCTAGCTTGTCGACCCTCGAATGACAGCGCCCCTACCCCCAACCACTCCTGTGTGCCCCACATTCCGCATATCCAAAGCTACACCTCTTCCCCCATGGCTCGGGACCCGTCGCCCGCCTGCGCGAAGTCCTCGTGCTGCGCCTCCTCCACGCAGCGCCGGAGCTTCTCCTCGCGGCCTTCCGCCTGCGCCGCCGCAGCGCGCTGCAGCAGCTCCTTCCGTTGCGCCTCAGGGGCGGCGTGGAGACCCCAAATTGCTAAGACCTGTTTGGGCAATACGAAATAGACTTGAAATTTGAACCTACTAGCGATGGCGTCCAACCTAATAAGCTGGAATCGCTGGAGCCAACGAAACATGTCCAAAAATTGCTCTTCGAAGGATTCTCCGCGAATCCATCCGGTTGGCTACGCACCTCGCGCGTCTTCGACCGGCCTCGCGCTGTCGGAGCTCGCGCAGCAGCCGCTCGGCTTCCGAGATGTCTGGGCCGCGAACGCCGGACCTGGTGGCTGACGGGGGCACCGGACCTGGGGTTCCCTCAACAACCACTGAGCGCAAAGACTTCTTTTTTTCCGGTTAGCTCATAGTTTACCATTGGCCGGTGCGTTTTGTTCTTCCTGTTGGCCGGTGCGCGATAAAGAACGTGAAGGCAGGCAGTTTCAAGATCCCCGTGTCAATTCTGGGTAGGGGGTCCTGCCACAGATTTTATAGCTATAAAATGGTGAAGCCCACCAGCAAAGGGACATAAATTGGTGTGACCCCACCAAAGCTGAAATCCTATATTTTCACTAGACCCGACCTCCAAAACTTGACTCAATGACACTGAATGTACGCTCAACATGCTGCTCTCAGATGCCTGTTCAAAAAACCAATCACTCTGCAAGGTGCACGCCAACCCCATCCGACACCTGTCCTATGCAATGATTTGCTCCCACAACCCACCCAGCAAAGCAGACATAGAAGTGCTAAAGTCAAGCTTTAGGATGCTTTAGGTGCGCTTCCTGAAAGCCCTCCAGGACAGTTGCAGCATGCCACAGCACAGTTCCAGGATGTAGCAGGGCTCCCCAACAAGCATAATCCCAAACACACACTTTTATTGCATGTCCAGGGGTGGGGTCAACCCATTCTATAGGCCCACACCTGTGCCACACCTCTCCTATGAAATGCATTGCCCCCACCACCCGCCCAGCCAGCAAAGCACAAGTGCCACAATGAAGCCCAGGTGCCCTTCCTAGCAGCCTTGAAGGACAGGAGCAGCATGCCACAGCACAGTTCCAGGATGTAGCAGG